AACTGGCTGAAAGGGTGGAAAAGTGTCGCCCATGCAGGTTTGCAGCAAAGCAAAAAACAAACAGCCACGACATGTGCATGTCTATGGGAAGTTACACCTGTTTAAATTTTCTAATTGTCTGATGCGCCTGGCTCAAACATACATAGCTCTGAAGTATCGGAAGGCTCGCCTCTGATAAAAAAACATGCCTGCTCAATCGCGGCTGAAGTTTCCCGAGCCCAATGATTGGAAGACCATTGTGGAGCCCCTTGGGAAATTTCCACGCAAAGTTTTTGTATCAATGCCTTGTGTGGGGATAGATGGGTGCGGTACTGCCCTTTACCATATGGGCGTGAACTTTGAAGCGAACAACATCATGGATGTAGAATCCAGGTATGGCCCGCACTTGACACAACACTTGGGGATGACAGTCCACACGCACAAGACCCGTGGTGATGTCACCAAGTTGGATCTTACAGAAGTGGAACGCCCTGTTGATCTCCTATGCAGCGGCCCTCCATGCCCCCCGTGGGCAGGCAATGGAAAGCACACTGGGCCCATGGATGATCGATCCCAAGTGTTCATTGCAGTGCTGAAGCTTGCTATCAGTTTAATCAAAGCTGGTGAGTTGCAAGCTGTGGTTCTGGAAAACGTACGTGGAATTACGTATACCCAGACAGGGCATACACGTTCCTTCATGGAGCACATGGTAGATTTCCTTCAAAACCAAGTGCCTGAATTTAACTGGAATGTGTGTACACTGAATGCTACGGACTTTGGGCTTGCCCAACAGCGGTGCAGGGTGTTTTTGCGTGGCCTCAGGACATCGATTGGGAAGGTGCCAGATCCACTGCCACCTTTTGGGCCAAAACCTTTGGGTGAATTTTTGGCCAGGGAGGTTCCCAACCTGGACTGGTCTACATTGACCAAAACTATGACAAAAAACCTCAAAGATGCAGTCAAAGCCTTGAAGGACATGCTTGACAAGGGAGAAGTACAGTTGACCGACCTTGTGATTTTTCCCTTAGATAGAGCGGAGGGCAAGGTTTACAAACGGCGGTTTACAGTGAATCTTTGCACCACCCTGACGACAACCAACAAGTATCTCTTCATTTGCAGCATGGACTTGGACCAGCCTGAAAAGAAAAGAGCATTTTTCCGGTTTATTCATGAGAATGAAACTTGTCTTACATGTCTACTATGTTTTGTATGGTGTCGTTTGTTTGTTTAGCGGATACGATGGTTTTGGAACACCCAACCCTTTCAAGTACCAATTTAGCGAGGTATCTTGATTGAAATGAATGTTCATGCTATTTCATGTAAATGTCCTCATATTCTTCTTTGGGCGAGTCGACGGGGTATCAGCTAAGGAAAGGATGGTTTTGCAAGGTTTTGCGGCAGATACCTTGCAAGAGGGAAGAAGCTTGTCTTGAACCACCTTCAATTCATTTTTCATTTTGGGGGTTCCACCTAATTGTTTGGGTTGGTAAATACTGTTGTTGTTCAAAATAGTGGTAAAATATGGTAAGATGAATATATCTACATCTATACCTGATATTTAAAAATCAAAAAAAATGTATCATCACCTCATGCTTATCAAATTTGGGGGTTATTGATATCGTGGAGGTCTAAGCACATTCACGGGCTATTGAATTTTGAATTCAAATTTCCAATTAGTACAATATGTGTTGATCAACCTTAGGATATCTTAGATTTTTTTTTTGTGGAGCACCTTTGGTCTACTTAGGCCAGGCTTTGCGAATCAAAGCATCTGGGAACGCATATCCCGTTCCTCTGATGATCTCAGTTTTGTACCCCATGATGGCCATGCTGAAGAACAAGATGAACAAAAACCGCCCCAAGCAAGCAAGTTTGGTGGGTCGAGATGCAACCGCATGTTGCAACAATTTTCATGCATGGATGGAAAAATTTAAGGCGGAAGCGGCTGTTGCGGAGACCAACAAAAGACCGAAGGCTATGAAGATGAAGAAGAAGGCTGCGAAGTCAACCAAGGCTACCAAGAAAAAGAAGGGTGGTGTCAAGAAAGTGGCGACAGGAAGGAATGTCAAGAAGACAAAACTCAAGACCAACAGCAGGATTTCACGAAGGAGGGCCCGATACCAGTACCAATTTTTGTCGTCTTCCTCTTCAAACTGAATGAAATGCACATGGCACGGCTCGCCTGCCTAGAGTTTGCCAGTTTAGGGAGTGGCATTTTGCGGGAGCAACCATCGAACCATTGAAAGGAAACCGGTTTTGCGCGTGTGAAAAAAGTGTGGGATATGGGTTTTGGTGGTGGGTGGGTTGTGTGGAATCGGTTTTCTTGTGGTTTTATGATATCATATGTTATGTTCATGTATTTATCATACGGTATATGTTAAATATGCTGATGTGTTTTTTGCAGGTTTGAAAAGTTGATCATGCACGGTTTGTACTTAGTGACTTGCTCATTGGGCCTGCAATGTTTTGGTTCATTTCCAAGATATAAACGAAGGCTCGCCTCTGTAAATGTTCGGTCCTTTGCGGCCTTTGTGGTATGGCAGCAAAACGGCTGACTGACCTTCTCAACTTTCTGACCAGTCTCGGGACTGTGGTATCCGACGATGACCCTGACAAAAAGGATAAGCAAAAGGCATTGCTTCGTGGCTGCTTGGTGGATTTCAAAACGGGGCCTCCTATTGAGGTACAAGAGGGAACCAACATGCTGGAGGAAGTGAAGAACGCAAAGTTTCCTCAATGGATGCGAGATGAGGTGGCTGGAGCAGTACAAGAAAAAATCATGGCAGATATGCTAGGGGAACACGAGAAGAAGAAAAGGTCATGCATGCAAAGGAACCTGCATCTCTACAACTACCTGACGACAGGAGAATGGAATGATTTGTGTTCATCGTGCACCAGCTTCGAGTCCAAGATGAGGCTCATTGGGAAACGTTTCCAACTTTTGGGCTTGGTGAACCCTTCTGAACCTACTTTCGTCCTGGCCAACATCTTGCTTCAGCTTTCCTTTTGCCAAGGGAACCCGGACAAGATTGACGAGAAAAAACATTACGCTACATTGAAAGATTTGAAATTGGTGGTCAAAGGTATTTGCAAACGAACCTCCCACAGCGGTGTTGCAGTGTACCCCGAGGACCCCACGACCTTGGGAAGCATTTGGGAGAAAGCTTATGCTGAGGACCCCCCGGCCAAATGCCCCTTTGATGTTACAGTCGTGATGGACCTTACTGATGGATTACCGGCCAGGTGCTCTCACAGGAGCGTGCGGCCAGGCAAATCCAAGGGTTTCCAACGTGATGAAGGGCTACAACACATGTTGGCAAACTTTTTGTTGGCCAATGCATTTCAAGGGGGGCAACAGGAAATGGGTGCGCTTTGCAACTTGCAATTCAACCAGCCCAGCAGGAAACGGCCTTTGGCTTTGATGAACAAACCTGATGAACCTGTTGACGCCCCACCAAAAACACCAGAGAGCCCACTGGAATCCCCAAAGGAGAGCAAGGACACAGCCCCCCCACCGGTCTCAGCTGAAGCCAAGGACGTGGATAACATGGCAAAAGAAATCCAAGAACAGTTGGAAGCCAACAAGGAGAAAAACAGACCACCACAGGCCAGCAAGCCTGCAAACCAAAAGGACAAAGCTTCTAAAGCTCCGCACAAGAAGAAGGCTGCAGGTACACATGGTGCGGAGATTTCCAGCAAAAGCAAGGCATTCCCAGGGACAGGAGCGGCAGCCCCAAAAAAAATTGAGAAGGCTACCATCTACACTTGCCCCAAATCGAGTTCGTGGAGGGTGAAGAAAACCGGGGACAAGAAGGACCCAGCCTTTTCTTGGAAGAAGGAGGAACCAAAACACGTTTGGGCCAAAGTCATAGACTACATGGCTACGCTGTGAAGGCGCTTCATGAGGCTCGCCCATGAAAATGCTGTTGGGGGAACAACGGCAAATCTGCGTGAGGTGAAAAAATGGTGTCACACAGTGTGCGGCGCTATGGGCATGTTTTTTTGGTATGTTGATCATATTTTTCTGTTTGTTGATCATTTGTTTGCAATTTAAACCTTGCATCATGATGATGGAAATCAAACATTTCAGGACCCCAAACCGTTGTCATTCATTTGGTTTTCCTACATTGTGTTTGTATTGTTTATTGGAAAAGTAAAATGACCATGCTAAAGGACAAACATTTCACGTATTTCCCATGGTTAGGCCAATAGTTTGAATAACATTAGGTACTTATTTTGGAATCATGTGCGTTTCTATGCAGGATGATTTTACCATAAACACGAGGTTTCCAATTTTGGACATGCGGACATCCTAAACACTGGCTATCCTTAAACAACATGACATGCCAACGCCCTAAATTTTTCAAATCTACAGCGACCTTTAATGACTGCATTATTTGTTGTTTACATTTCTCTGGGCAAGCCTCAGAGAACCAATCAAAGGTATTTGCCCATTGCTGTGATTTACTGTGACTTTATTCATGTGTTTATTCCTTCTTTGGGCGAGCCTCAAAGATCAAACAAATTGGCTTGGGATGCTATGCAGTTGCGGTATTTTTGTTTTGCTGGTCAGTTTGCAACCGGCCATCAAAACATCACCAAATCCATTGCCGGATGTTTTGGCTGCGGTGTCATTTTTCATATGATATGGATTGCAAAAAAACGGTGTGCTTCATACACTGGATTTTTTGAAAAACATTTTTTGAACAAACAAAATTGACCAACAAACATGTTTTACGCAAAATCAACGCTGGGAAGTTATAACTTAAGTTCTAACTTCTGAAAAGTTAACGTGCACGTGCAATATATATGTATAGTTATAAGTTGGATAACCGCCAAAACCGCTTAAGTAGGATTTCCCTGTGCCGGGTCCACCGTGTAAAGCCCACCGCAATGCCTCCGTGTTGGTTTCGGCCATTCCGCCACGATCCTGCCCAGTCACAGCTTCTTCTTCAACTCTCGCACACACAGTTTCTAAGAATGCGAATTGCTCCGGATTGCATGTCCCGCTACTGTTGATGTCAACGAGGAACTGATCCACTTTCTGCACGGTATCCTGAGCAACCGCTTGCCAGGATCCGACGGTCGGTGCTGTTGCTTGCGGCGTCGGCGTTTGCCTGCGCTTGCCTAACGTCTTCAATTTTTTTTCGGGTATCGGCCGATGCCTGTGCTTCATATGGATTTCTGCCTGGAACAGGACCTGCAGCGGGCGGGGCTTGCCAAGCGGCTTCAGCTTGCTGTGCTGCTTCTTCATAACTCGCAAGCACGGGATCATCCATAGCAGCTGCATCACCACGCTTTGGATTCGCAGCGCGCTTGCCAGTTTGCCGAAACGACGTTTGCATAGCTACAGGCAAGGTGGCAGGCGTGACCACCAAAGCTTCATCTACGCCACTGTGGTCGCTATTGCCTTCTTCGACGTTGGTGGGCCGCACCCGGTAAACAGACAGAAAATTACCGACATATCGTTTTGTTTCTTCGCATGGGAGATACAGCAACCACAAGCGCATGGCCGCGACCCAGGTTTCATCTGGCAATTTCAAGCGACCTGCAAAAGGGACATTAGCTGAGGCTGCAGGTGCATTCAGCGTCCACGCGCGAAAATATGTCATTTTTTCGTCTATGTTTCGTAAGAATAAGAATACCTACAAGATCCGGATGTGCAAAAAAAACGCCCTGAGTTGAAACAGCAAGAAAGTTCGCTCGCAGTCAGAAGTTTCGCCCGATGGCTCAAAAAACGACCCCACTGCAATGAGATTGGGTTATGCAATCAATTCAACACCCATCCATCATCATACCCTCTTTTTTTCACCTGAATTTGCAATCTAAATCTTTGTGAACCCGTTCATACAATCTCAACTTAGAACTGATTAGGAACCAAATGCTCATCAGTTGGAACTGTTTGCAAGGGAAGCACTCTTCAGAGAATCCGTCCACAACACCCAACGTGTAAATCTTGTCAATTTCACTGGAATGATCTTTGAGGTCGGCCATCACTTTCTCCATCTTCTCCTTCATCCTGGGATTCCAAAATGGTGGGGATGCCCAACTGCAAGACAAGGCAAAATAGTGGGATAATTATATTATATGGTGTTGTCCCCCATGGCGGCCCTCCCAATAATATTTCTGAGGGTGTGATCCATTCATCATCCATTGGTATTATCAATTTTTGCGGGGCTGTTGAAATCAGAAGACATGTATGTTTAAATAAGTTGCGCTATCTGCAGATTCGACAGGGTAGCACCATCACCAAATCGCTCAAGACCCTTCTCCAATTTGCTCATGCGCTTGGAGAGACATGTCCTTGGAAGAGATTGGGAGCAATTGCAAAAGATCTACATCATATAATATAATATTTTTAAAAAAACAAGAAAACAAATCAGAATCTGGACTTATGCAATGAGCTTCATCATTTTGGTTGCGATGGTGGAAGGTAATTGATCCACCTCCAACTCAGGCAACCCTGCTTTCTTTCGCTCCACCTGTGCCCGGGACTCGGCTTCCCGAGCTTTGCACTCTGCTGGGCTCATCTCCAAATCCGAACCCTCAGAACCTGCAACAGGGCCCCGACTAGATTTGCACATGTCTTAGATGATATGATCCTAAATGGTTTTGGCAGATTTATGGACCTGATTTGGGATTGCCCATTGATGATCTATATAATTGGGGCCGTTTCAAAACTTTCAACATGTCGAGCCTTCTTCAACATCCACGTCAAAGGGCTGGGGCTTTTCAGTCTTGGGCTGGGACAGGGGCTTGGAACCATTGGCGGTTGAGGGGCCTATGTTCAAAGCATCCTTCTTCCCCATCTGTGGGGTGAAGTCACGGATCCTTTTATCAGCGGGTCCACCCAAACAAACAGGGGCATCATAGGCAGACAGGTCAGCACCCTCCTGTTGCCAAGCAAGCTTCCGTTTGAAAGCTGTAGAGCTGCTTCGCCTTACCAGTTTTGAAAATGACCCATGGGAGAAGTGACCATTTAAGACTGGGCTCAGTGACAGTCATGGTTCCAAATTAGTGCAAACAAGATGCCGTTGGCTGGCCTTGACGGCTGTTTCAGCCCAGTACAAGACAAGGTCCTCGTATCGATCACGCCTGAATCACGGCAAAGATTGCGCTTTACTACCCCTGACACATCATTCAGTAAAGAAGAATGACTGGTTGGATGCCTCATCAACTTTCGAGGGTTTTCCATTGCAGCCTTTTTGATGGCATCAATTTTTTGCCTTAGCTGCAAGGCATGTGAAATGAAGACGTCATAGGCAAACTAAATCAAGCCCAAAAACTTTTGACACAAAACTGTTTTTTTTTATTACAATATTACAAGGATTAGGTATTTCAATTCTAACCAGTTCCAACTAGTTACTGGGACCATTTCCATTCAGTTTTCATTGTCTCTTCACTCATGAACTCCCCCTCGATTACCAGGTCATTCGCCAGCAGATCCTCTTGGACCAGTTCCAGCTCTTCACAGAATACGTCCTGCAAAGGCAGGACCGGTGGGGTGCAAGAGACTAGTGAGAAACGCATACGCAATGTAACTACTAACAAAAGGTATTAATGGTTACTGTAATAACAAGTCACAAAAACCAACTATAGCCATGGTAAACAACTACAGGTAATCCCAACCAATAAATCTTTGCTTTAAAAACAACTGGATTTGGATTTTAATAGAAACATCCAAGCTTTTTGTCACACCTGTCCGGGTTGAAACCGCAACTCTGGAAAATTTGCTGCAACCGAAGCTTGCCCTTCTTGCAATGAAATTGCTTACGGATCTCATCGCCAACCCTGGAATTGCCTTTGGAATCAAGCTTCATCACCCTGTGAAGTCTCAGATTGATGGCATTCTCGGACAATCTCAGTTCACCAGGGATGGGGGTTTCCGCAGATTTATCACCAATTGAATCCATTGAGCTTGGGGTTCCCAAATCAGTTGACCCTGGGGAAGCACCACCAACCGTCGGTGTATTGCGGCAAGGAGTGGCCACAAGACCTTCTGGAGCAGGGCCCCCAGCCTTGCTGGCGGTTGGCTTTGGGTCACAACCCGGTGCATCGACTTCAAGTGATGGTTTGGGTTCATCCTTCTTGGGGGATTTGGATGGTGGATTGGGGGGACAATCCGGTGCATCCACTAAAGTTTCCTCAACTTGTGGTTGGTGATCTTCTGCATCATCGGGATTATTGTGATAGGCTTCATCGGAAAAACCATGCTGGCCAATATCACCCACCGTTTCAAGATGTTCATCACCCCGGTCATGTGCCGCACCACCTTCTGGAGGGTAGTGCCTGGTCATCGGCGTTTCTACCTGAGATGTAGCTGTTTGGACCCGAAGATTTGGAGGGACATAGGTGATTACCCAAATAATGAGGTAAACCAAACAATATTTGAATCTTGAATAACGAAAAGTAGCAAGCTAAATCAACTCTTGGGTTTTCAAAACCATTTCAGGCTGTAGAGGCCATATTATATTATTGTTGATACGATGCTCTATAACAATATTGGTACTATGTGATATGATATGATTTTAAATATTGTATTATATCATGTAATACTAAATGATATTATTAATTTATTATTGTCTTTGATATTCTAGCTTAACTTATATTAAACTATTACTATTTTCAAAATCACATTCAATATATATATATATATATAATATAATATTTTATTATATTTTATTATATTATATTATAAGATATTATATTATATAATATGATATGATATTATATTATATTATATTATATATGTAAATATTATATATATATATATTTATATAGATATTGGTGTATTTTTGATTCTTACTAAATATTATATTTGTAGATAATATTCTATTTCATAACCGGGTGCAATCTTATATTGTATCTTTATCATATAACATTGGCTTATTTAAGATAGAAATATATTCAATGGTGTATTCTCTTACTATCAAACTATATTATTGGTTTTATTGAATGAAAGTATTTGATATGAAATTCAAACTATAATAAATAGTATGACAGTAGAAATAGATTAAATCCAGGTATAGACTTCTACTAAATGGTGTTTTGTTGTGATGTTATATCCTGATGTGATATTGTAACCCCTGCTGTCCCCTATGACTAGAATATGAAAGTTGAGGTGCCCCTCAAAGATTTGAAGGGGCGAACAGTTTGTTTCCAAGAAAAGAACTATGTCCATACAGCGGTCCACTTCTTTTAAAGAAATAGCCCATATCAGCATAGGTACTCCATCCAAATCACCAGTAGGGCTCACCTCAACATCGGACTCTAAATCTATGGGATTTGAAGTAGCCCAAGATTGCAAGGCTGCTCGGGACCAGAGTTGCCACCCCTGACTGTCCGGGTTGGTAGACAGAATCGCGTCAATGCCTGCTTTCTCCAGTGAGGTTCCTGGAGACTCCACTTCGCACTTCACCGCCAGCTTCACTTCAGAGGCCTGTGGCGTCGTGGCTGTGAGCTGGGATAGTTCAGCTTCGGCATCTTTCAGCTCCTGGGCTTGCTGGCAATCCCCAGAATGATATCTAGTTCAAAAAGGCATTTGGAAATCTACAAGTTTCCCAGCTATAATATATATTAGTTGAAGCTGACCATACTGAAGCAAAAGCTGAGAAGAATGATCCAACAAAAATTTGACAATAGAACACTAATCAACATGCTAAACATCATAACATTGGCACATGTCCCTTTATGGAAGCAATTTTCGTCAAAAGGGAACCCAGGAGGAAAATTACATTTCTATTATTGGTACTTCACAACCAGAACCAAATCCCATAAATATGTCAAGTAGCCGCAAGGGCCGATTTCAATTCAGGGTCTTGTTCAACTTTGACTTGAGAAAGTAGGCCCGATGGTTGCCGCTCCAACAAGCGCACACCCCGAGACAAGGTCTCTGAAGACCAAGCATTGCTTTTCAGCCCCTTCATTCTGACAGCTAACTATTCCCGGTATTGAACCGAACCTTTCAATGATATGGGCATAAAGGCAAGGCTGTCAGACCCCCGAAATGAGAACCATTGTTAGAAAAATGAAATGGGACAAGTTTGTCACATGTCAGAGACTTGTTCAACAGCTTTACTGGGGTATTCCCGTTCATTCAGAATGCATTCTTTCCATTTCTTTCCTACCTGCCCATGACTTTGAAATAAAGAGACACCACTGGGCTAGTCCATTCTGAAATTATAAAATCCAATGTTCACTAGTCACGGTGAGACGGCCAATGGCAGCCCACATGGACTGTCCCTCTTTTCACATCCTTTCCATGCCATAGCTCCGCTTGCAGTGGCAATCGGGGAACTGGGACAAGGGCAACAACCACCATACAGTTCAGCATCGGGTACAATGGTTGCAAACACAATATGTTATGTTAAAAAATCGCTCAATTTTTTTTTCGCCCTTTCGTCGGGGTTTTTCGCCCTTTCGTCGCCGTTTTTCGCCCGTTCAGATTTTGATTTTTTTCATGAATTTTGAATTTTTCATGAATTTTCATGTCAAAGCCATAAAAACATGAAAGGTGAGTTCAAGTGCTCACCTCTGTTGATCAAGCCGTAAAAGACAACTCAATCGATGTCCGATTTGACTGATCTACAAAAGTTGGCTCCATAGTCCTAGCTAGAGCATGGAACTGGTGCCACTGGGGTGGGACCATGAGATTCTTTGCACCGCATGTGTAGCGAATACATGCGAACAGCTCAGCATCAGCCCAAGCTGTCCACCCCGATTCTGCCAGGAGATCTTGGAGTGGACTGGTTTGGTCGGCCTCTGCACAGGACGGGGCAAAGGAAAAGTGCCAAAAAGGAACCCCCCAAAAAAAGGGAGTTGCAAAATTGCAAATGAGTGTTTCAAATGGTGGTTCCATATGGTTCCTCATAAAATGGCATGTCCCTATCTCAGGGTTTGATAGGTAATGCCAAAATGGCTCCTATGCATCTTTGGCCCACGTCTAGTATGTTTTCAAATAATATTTTTTGTATTCGTAATTATATTTATAAATATAATTATTTGTTATTGTTATAACTATAGGCATGCGCAAACCCTCGCTTGAATGGTAGGCAAGACACTTCGAGTCCAAAGGTACGTTGTTCCGAACGAATGTCTGGAATCTTCTCCACAACAGCTTTGGCAAATCCAGCTGGATAAACCCTGAAAGAGCAACAAGCAGTGGTTTTGTAAGAGGGGATGAGACGACCAAGGGGGTCAGGGAGATCTATCCCATAAGTTTGTTGGTCCCCAATAAATTAGGAATGCAATCCCGATGACACCATCCAGGTTGGGCAACCATATAGACTGAAATGTTGCTTTAAATCTTTCTGGGGATTATAACTCTTTTGTATTACTGGTAATTGTCAAAACCATTTGCCCTAATAAACAGCAAGCGTGACCCTTCTGAAGACACATGTTTTGTGGTATGTTTACCTAACCATCCCAATCTAAGTCAAGTAACTGTGATTGCTTAAGGCGACGGGTTCCAGAAAAACGCTTCCGGCCAGCACGGTCAACATAGTGCCGGCAAAGGAATTTTCGGAATGATTTCCCTTTGCGCCTTTGAGCCTGGGCCTTGTTCTTCTTCCGGGTTTTGCCAACACATGTGGCTGTGTGCATCTTGCAGAAGCTGACCGAGTTGGTAATCAACATCGTAGGTTTCATAGTTCCGGCCCCATAGTTTTGCATATTGAAGACCACACGGAAGGTCTAAGTAGCATGGGTCTTTCATGGTGCTGTTCTCAAACAGTACAACCAGATTATGAATACGGAAGCAATTTCCAAAAGAAACCCTTTTACAGATTGACTTGTTAAACTTTTGCTAGGTGCTCGGACTTTGGCGAGTTTGCGGAGAACTCTGAAGGCCCAAGCCAGTCTGGGATGAAGGAGCATTACCGAATTGCATGGCTGCTCAATCACATAGAAGAAGTCTAAGGACGCCAAAAGACACACCAATAATGATGTCCTGATGGGTCAGCCCTTCAAATTCCCGAATTCCTTCAGGTCATGAACCACTATCTTGGTTTAGAGCATTATTCCAAAAGTATGAAACCATTGATAATTGATCCATAAACATTTCACCACAAAGTCCTTGCCACCATCTTGTTTCCCCGTCTCACCGACAAGAAATTGAGCTGTCCGAGTGGTACCAGCAAATCCCTCATGCTTGTAGCTCTGTTTACCACGCTCCATGTACTGCAAACGACCCCTAGCAGAGCTAGGAGACAGCCAGGCCTGCCTCCCAAAATCATCAGGATTGCCAACCTCAGGCAACGGGCAATGTCGAACTCTTTGTTTGGTACAAGATTGTTTCCCCGATTGTTTTGCAAAGGGGAAAACATGGTAGCATTATTGTCAACCAATTTTGGGGTGGTACTTGTGGACATTCTTTCGTGATATAATTGATGTAACTTTGGGATCCATTGGGAACATAAATTCAAACAAATCACACTGTCTTTGAAAAAACCAAGTAACAAGAAACCGGCTTCACCATTGATATCAAAAGCAGACGGTTTAGACCTACCAGCATGGATACCCGCTCCTGCCGGTGCAGTTTCATAGTCCAAATCAAAGGCCCGGGAGACATACCCCATACAATTTGCAAGACGGCTCACACGGGCACGACCTGCATAGAAGTCTAAAAGGTCAAAAGGCTCAGACCCCTCCCATGGAAGGTTCACCAACCAGCTGGCCATGAGAGTCAGATAAATGAAATCCTTAGTCATGCGGCGATCTGGATAGGAATGTATGTTGGTATTTTTCAAAATGGGGGATGCTCGAAAATATTTTTGAAAATACCTAGATGAATATTTTCGAGCATCGCTCATTTTGAGAAATGCCATGAGTTCTTCTTTATTGGGGGGAATTGCAAATTTCACCAAGGACATGACATGTATCATAATGAGTTACCGTCAAGCTTCCATTGGCACACCCAAACCTATCATTCTGCGACAAGCCAGGTCAACCAGAGAAGGATCAATCTTCATGGCCCAGCACCGGAGGACTGCTTTGGAGCAAAAAATGGGCACTCCCGGGATGGCAAACAAAATTCAACAAGTTGAGATTCCACAAGAGCATTCCATAACATAGCTGAACAAAATGTGGTTCCATACTTTCGGCGGGTATAGTTTGTAAGATAAAACCAGGCCAGGCCCACTCAGAACTGCCCCAAATCTGGCCAAACATCCCTGGCCACGTCGAAGCGACATCCTGGAACGGGAATTGAAGTAACTAATGGGATTGGTTTGGTTGTGACTTTTGGATTCAAGTCGTTAACAAGTGGTGTCCCTTTTGGCTTTTGTTGGCTATAACATGG